CCACAGAAGAATGGATTCTCTCCCTCCCCACCCCCATAAAAAAAAGGACCTACCACACAGTCTGAGATATGAGGATCGCAGCTCAAAGCCAGCTTAGGCAGGAACGTCTTGGAGACTATTATCTACAATGAAGCACCACAAAAGCTGGAAGAAGCTTAAGTGGTAGAGAATGAGCTACAAGCAGACCAGCTCAGGGTCAGTACCCAGGCCCTGAGTTCAAACCCCAGGACCAGCACAAAAAGTGATATAATAATAATAATAATAATAATAATGTATGATACATTTACATACATACATTGGAATTTTATGCAACCATCAGGAAGAATGAAATTATACCATTTGCAAGAAAACCTGGAAAATGGCATACTGAGCAAAGAAAACCAGGCTCAGAACTATACCTATGGCCTTTTATTTTGGCCCAGGCTGGCTTTGAACCTCTATCTTCAAATCTCATTTTTCCCAAGTAGATAGGATTATAAGCGGAAACCACAAATAACCAGCTGAAAATGTTGAATGAATAGACAAAGAAAGACTGGGGATATCCCTCCAGACCACAGAGGAATGGAGTGTTTCAGCATTTAATGTTTAGCAAATGGTATTTTAAACAACCTGTTGCCTGCCTCCTGTGTTTAAAAACAAAACAAAACAAAAATGAGGTAAGTTAATGCATGTATGGGATTTCTTCCTCAAGAAACTGGTTGTAAGAAGATAGAGCTTTAACTCTACTGAGAACTAAAACTAAACATGTCACTATTTCCGGACTAAAAGGTTTGCTGTGGTTCAGTTACTCTGCTGTAGCCTTGAAGACAGCTTGGGTATCTCACAATTATAGTATAGGAAGCCCCACAAATTAGTATATATTTTTTAACTACACTGGAGACAGAGTCTAGGAATTAAAAAAAATAAAAATAAATAAGCAGATTCAATGGAATTACATGATACGTGGGGTGATTCCTTTTTTTTTCTTTTCATGTTTGTTTTTGGGTGCTAGGGCTTGAACCCAGGGCCTGGATGGTGTCCCTTAGCTTTTTCACTCAAAGCTGGAGCTCTACCACTTAAACCACAGCTCCACTTCCAGCTTTTTGCTATTTAATTGGAGATACGAGTCTCATGGACTTTCCTGCCCAGGCTGGGTTGTATCTTTGAGCCGCAGATCTCAACCTCCTGAGTAGCCTGGCTTCAGGACAAACTATTAAAACGAGGGAAGTTAATTGAAAAAAGCTTTGGTTTCCAGTGATGGCTTTCTGGGTACGTTATGTTATTCAGGATGTTCACACGCCTGAAGCCCCACAGATGGTCATTTGGCCTCCCAGGGCTGACAATGCTTCAGGTCAATTTGTCAAGGTCATCTTTTACCCTAGCATGCCAGGGCCTGAGTTCCCGATTTAAAGCCCCACTGTCCACCGCATACAACCAGAAGCCACTCTCATAAAATACGCTTGGCACATATTTCTGGAGGTGGTGGGGTTCCATGCTTTGGAAGTGTAAGAATAAGTCTGGGGCAAGCCAAAAGACAGCACTTGTATCTCTACCAGCGTTTGAAGGTCCTAACCTGGCAGACAGGGTCCATCCACCTGCAGGCCAGAAAAAAATCACCAAACCAGTCCCCCTCCTCCCCCTGCCAGGCCACACACACTGGTATCCTGTTTTTGTTTTTGTTTTTTTCATGTGAGACAAATTTTTCTTTTCCAGAATTACTATATGTTAACTCATTCTTAAAAATTATCTGTCAGTAGCTTTATACAAAAGGACTTCAATGTGATGTGTCAGTTGATGAGCACAATGCATCTCGATCAAGGTCATCCTATTCATCCTTCTCCACCCCCCCTGCCCCCGCCCCATTCCCTCAATTTACTTAGTTCCATTTTCACACACGTGCAGTAAGTATATTCATTGCATCCGCCCATCTTTCCCCTCCCCTTGACCTCCCCTTCCCTGGACACTAACTAGAAATTTCTAGCTTCCTGCTATTCATTGTGTTAAACACTAAGTTTTTCGAAGGAGTTCAACCCCTGGAATACTTCCTTGCAGATATCATATTTTAGTAAATATGGGATCTATATATATACATGTATATATTCATAAGATTGTATTGTTTGTGTATATGATTTATAGAAAAGATTAAAAGTCAGGGTACAGTAAAGAGACTTGCACAACCATGTGCATTGCTGCACTATTCACCATAGCCAAGTTAAGGAAAATATCTAGATGTCCCTCAATAGATGAATAAGTCAAGAAAATATGATGTGAGATAGATAGCTAGATAGATAAATAGATACAGACAGACAGACAGACAGACAGATAGATAGATAGATACAGACAGACAGACAGAGATAGAGAAATGAATGTTACTCATCCATCAAAAGAACATTACATCATTTGCAGAGAAATAGATAAACCTAGAAAAAAAATTATGTTAAGTGACGTAATTCAGGCTCAGACAAAGAACTCATATTCACTTGCTTATGTGGAAGTTAGATCTGAATATCATCCTGCTTTTAACCAAAGGCTGTCCCAGCCAGCATACATCCGCCCTGTCAGTCATTCTGGATGGGGATAATCTCAGTGAAGCCCTCTGTGTTGTTCCTGTCACTTGCCCAAGAAGGAAGTTGACCCCTAGAGGAATCCTTACCACCTGGAGGGAGGGGGAGGGGCGTGAAGGGGAGGCACTGTCACTTAGCCTCTTCCTCCCCCTGGCAAATGCGATTCCCACATAGAAATCCTAACAATGGTCAAATAGCAATGCTAGAATGTGAACACAAAATAGATCAGGAATAAGAGTCTATGTAAATCTGGAGATATATTAATGCAATGCCCTTTCGCTGAAATAATTTTAAAGCTAAACAGCTCCAGAAATACTTTTTCTTTTAGTGTTAGACAGAGGATGCTAGATAAAAATGCTCTGGCACAAAGGTAAGCAGGAGAAAAAAAAATACAAAAAGTAAGCGACTTCTGTTTGTTTGCTTCTGTCAGTCCTGGGGCTTGAACTTAGGGCCTGGGTGTTTTCCTTGAGTTTTTGTGCTCAAAGCTAGTGCTGTACCACTTTGAGCCACAGTTCTACTTCCATATTTCTGGTGGTTAATTGGAGAGAAGAGTCTCTAGATATTCCTACCCTGGTTGGCTTTGTACTGCAATCCTCAGATTTCAGCCTCTTGAGTAGCTAAGACTATAGGTGTCAGTCACCGGAGCCTGGCTCAGTATTCTTACATTATACTAAAGCTGTCATTTTCTTGGAACAGGCAACCAAATAAACATTATTTAAAAAAAAAAGGAATACAAACTAGTGTCTCTTGCCTATATTCCTAGCTACTCAGAAGGCTGAGATCTGAGGATTGTGGTTCAAAACCAGTCAGAGCTGAAATGTCCATGAGACTCTTATCTCCAATTACCCACCAAAAAGCCAGAGGTGGAGTTGTGGCTCAAGTGGTAGAGTTCTAGCTTTTAGCCTTTAGCTCAGGGACAATGCCAGGCCTTGAGTTCAAGCCCCAGGACTGGCACAAAAAGGAAAAAAAAGTATTGCAACCACAATTTGATTGATTGTAGGCTATGTAACTAATTTTCCTTTATTATTCATTTCACCTCTTTGGGTGGTTTTATGGATGCCATGGACATTGTTTTGTTCTTCTTGTTCTGAGGTTTTATTGGTTGGTAGTGGAAATAGAATCCAGGACCTCATGCAAACTAAGGATACATTCTCCACTCAGCTCCATCCAAATCCTGAGGTTTTTTTTTTAAGGAAGTCCCCCATAAATATAATTTTACTCCTACATTGATTTTTTAAAAAAATACTTTAAAAACCTGGCAGTGAAAAGAAACGATCTTGCTACTAATTTTGGAGAGGTTATTTCTATCACCAGAACACTGCGATTTGAAGATATCATGTCAGCTAGCATTTGGAAAATTCTCTACTGAATTTCACATATCCCCGAACCCCCAAAAATCAGGCACTAAGATATGGGGATGTGCACTGGGAAGGGGGGGGGTGGTCATTTGTGATATTATCTGGAGCTACCAGAATTACTCTGGGAATCTTACACATCACTCCTTGCAGCCATATGAGCTGGTGTTAAACACATTCTTACATATCAGCACTTACTAATATGTCATTAATAAGTTGCTCATAAGCCATTTTGCATGAGGGAAGACTTGTTTGGAGCGCAGTGTTGTTGTATAACTGTGGAAACCCTCTCGTCAGGGAAAGTACCTATTTGATCCCATCCTTTCTCCTGAAAGAAAGAAATGAACCAATAGGAGTGGATTTACCCTCCAAATTGAAGATGAGAGAGGAAGCTGAAAATCCTGGATCCTTTCCTGAGAAACACAACAAAGCCGAGCTCTTGAATTTTGAAATGAGGAAAAGGGAACTAAAAGTAATGAATTTCAATTGTCTTTTATATTCATCCCTAATACTAATGAGGTCAGATAAATCCAATGGCTGCATAGCTACTAATAAAATAAAAAATAAATCCCAGTGGAGCCGGGTGCCAATGGCTCACACCTGTCATCCTAGGATTACAGGAGGCTGAGACCTGAGGATCAAGATTCAAAACTAGCCTGGGCAGGAAAGTCCATGAGACTCCTATCTCCAATGAACCACCAGAAAACCGGAAGTGGAGCTGTGGCTCAAAGTGGTAGAGCGCTAGCCTTGAACGTAAGAGCTCAGGGACAGCGCCTAGGCCCTGAGTTCAAGCCCCTTGACTGGAAAAAAAAAAAAACAAAAACCCTGAGAATTCACATGCTGTGAATAGTTGTGTAGAAGGTAGGGATGGGAGATGGCTGTTCCCTATCATCAGATGCAATGTCTCAAACAGCTGGCGAATTAAAAAAAAAAAATCATCTTCAATACCATTTCATTTGAAATACCCATAATTCCTTCAGATTTGAAGAAGTGATTTGTGTTAAGCCTGTATGATAAATCCCAAACAGAAATCAGCAGTGAGGTTATAAACAAGATGAGATACAGCAACCACAGACCAGAAAAAAATGAAATCACTTCCTACCATGTTTATGGATGACACCGGCCCAATGCTGTTCACGTAAATGTCCACATCAATCACCGTTGGCTTTACTATGGAGGAAAATAGAGGTAGGTTAGTACCTCGTGCTGGAGAGAAAGAAGAGAGCACAGTTCAATGTCCCAAGGACTCAGGCACTCAGATAGCAAGCCCATGTTGGAATCTTATGGGTAGAATTTTTCTTGGGGGCTTGTCTTGCGTTTTTTTTATTTCTGGTCGGTCATGGGGCTTGAACTCTGGGCCTGGGCACTGTCCCCAAGCTCTTTCGCTCAAGGCTAGCACTCTACCACTTCGAGCCACAGCCCCACTTCCAGTTTTGTGGTGGTTTGTTGGGCTAGCTTTGAACCTCAATCCTTAAATCTCAGTCTTCTGAATAGGTAGGATTACAGGCATGAGCCATAAGCATCTAGCATTTGTCTTGCATTTATAATGCACACATAACTTTTCTTAGTTTGAAATGTCTCAAAAGACAATCCATTCTTATTTGTATTTATTAAGTGACAAATTTTTAAAAAAAAGACATTTACAACTGCAAGTTGCCAGTGACAAATGACTATAAAGGTATCTGCAACGTTAGTTGACTTTATAGCAAAAGTAAGAGACAAAACTTACAACGTTGCCTAAGGAATTTAATGACAATGCTTTGCTATAAAGGTACACAGTATCAATGAGGTAGTTGGGTTATTTATTCATTGCACAACTGTCTAGATATTGTTCCAAAGCAGAGAAACTTAAAGCAAAGTTCTAGTGAGTTCTTGTTCCAAAAAAGAAGGTCGGGGGAGGGGGAACAGGAGGAGGAAAGAGGGGGAGGGGGAGAAAGAAATGGAAAGGAGGAGGGAGAGGAAGAAGGAGGGAGAGGAGGGAAAGAAGGGGAAGAAACGGAAGGAGAAAGGAGAGGAGGAGGAGAAGGAAGAGAAGAAGAAAAACGAAGGTGAGGGAGAAGAAAGTAGAAAATAAATGAGGAGTTGGAGGAAGGTAATTTATTATTATTATTATTATGACTTAAATACCTATACTTACCTCCATCATGGAGGCTAAATACTGTGACTGAAAACAGAATAAAACTGAACAAGACTCATTGTCCTTATAAACTGACATGTACAACTTCTGTTTGACTACTTCGAGGTCATTTTAAGAAAAGAAAACACACTAAAATTAAATTTAAAAATTGGGAGTGGCGCTGTGGCTCAAGTGGTAGAGCGCTCACCTTGACCTGAAGAGCTGAGGGACAGTGCCCAGGCTCAGAGTTCAAGCCCCACAACTGACAACCCCCCCAAAAAAACCCAAAAAATGAAATAAAAATAAGAATTTTAATAACTCAAAGGATTATCCCAGCCTCCAGCATGAGAATAGGTTATTTGACCAAAAGCTGTCAAATCTGACATTGCACTTCAGAGGTGAAATTGGCTAATTTGGCTTTGAAGAACCTCATTTTCTCCTCTCTCATCTGCCAAGGAACTCAGCGAGAGCCAAAATGGCATTGGGAGTGTGTAAGGGGCTTTGGAGCCAGGGAGCCCATACCCTCTAAAAAAAAAAAAAAAAACCCAAGAAGGATGTCCTCTTCATTACTGCCCAGGGACTGATAAAGGAGACAGGGCCAATTTCAGAACATTTCTGCCCAGGAGGGAGATAAACAAGACTCATGAACCTTGCTACATGGGGTTTCTATGGAAACAAGAGTTGGCTGCATATGCAATTATTTCAATGAGCCTCCTTCACTTCCACTAAATAGCTGCTCATTCACAAAATGGACTGCACTCTCCTCTGGAACTAACAGAAGCAGAGACTCTGAGCTCTCAGACTCTCCTAACATTGCACACAGTCTGTAGCCAGGGTGATAATTTTTCAGACGTCCATGCAATGAAAACAACGATGCTGAATTTGAAGTACCTATCTCCAACACTACCAGCAAAACCAAGTTAGGTTAGCTCCAACGAGCTGTTGGCATGTTGGAAGACAACGCAGCACCATTGCATGCACTAAACACACAAAGCCTGGCTTCCCAAAGAAGCAAGACCCTTCACTGTAGACTAAGCTTTACTAACTACTAGAAAAAAAAGAATTTGCATCCTGTGACTGTCCTGTCTCCATACAGGGCATGACCTCTGCTTATGCCATCCAGAATGCTGTAAAGTCAGCCCATTGTGTATTTTTGCAAGACATGTGAAAGATATAGATTCACAGTATTTATTAGACGTATCAATCAGATGTTACATATGCTTGCTTAGAAAGGACCTATAGATATAGCGACTTAAAAGCAGGAAAGGTCAATGGATGGAGCATAAAAAAGCTTAGAAGGAATTTGGAAGAAAGAAAGAAAGAAGGAAAGAAAGAAAGAAAAGCAGGAAGGCAAGAAAGAAGGAAGGAAGGATGGATGGATGGAAGGAAGGAAGGAAGGAAGGAAGGAAGGAAGGAAGGAAGGAAGGAAGGGAGAGGGAGGGAGGGAGACAGGGAGAGAGAGAAGAAAGAGAAAGAAGTGATGCAAATGAAAAAGGGTACATATCTAATGATCTGGCTAAGAGCAAAACATGTAGGTTGAGGATGGGTTAGACATTTCATGAACCAAAAGGCTCCAAGAGTTTCCACTGTGGATGGTCTCCAGAGGCTGGAACTAAATGAATTCTCTCTTAGAGAATGTTTTCCTTTTTCTGTTCTTTGTTTGTTTGGTACCAGTACTGAGTCTTGAACTCAGGGCCTAGACATTGTCCCTTAGCTTTTCCACTCAAAGTTGGCATTCTACCACTTGAGAAACAGCTCCACTCTTGGTCTTTTTGGTGGCCCACTGGAGATGAGACTCTCACAGACTTTCTTGCCAGGCTGGTTTTGAACCTCGAGCCTCAGATTTCAGCCTTCTGTGTAGCTAGGATTAAATGTATGAGGCATGGGTATGTGACTGGGCTCTCTCACTTATTGATTGTGGATAGTAAGAAATCCTGTCAAGGTAAAAACTGGAATATATATATATATATATATATATATATATATATATATTACAGTACAAGTTTTATACTAAACATTTTATTTCCAAAATGCCCCAAGAGATATGTACTAAAGTCTCTATTCAAACATCATACATGGTACTTTGTAGGATGCAGCAAAAATGCCAACTTGGAATGAAACACATAAGAGAAACACATGCTATCATTGGCCTCCACATCACTGTTTCCAAGGTGGGTGGGTATTCCTCCCTTATCTGGGGGAAGTCTCATTCTACAGACACCACGTAGTACCAAAACCCCAGGAGGCTCGAACTACTCACATCATATGGTGTAGTATTTGCATATGCACTGGCATATCTTCCCACTTCCAGTCCACCATCTCTAGATGGCTTATAATAGCCCGTGCCATGTAAATGCCGGAGAATCATTTAGGGAATGGTGTTCCTAATGAGCTAGGGAATATTCACTGCAGATCCAATACTTTTTTCTGAATATGTTCAATTCATGGTTTGGTTAAATCCACATATGCAAAACCTATGGAGGGCAGTAGTATACTGTATTTAAATCTTAATGCCTGATCTTTTCTGCTTGTCCCAGACATATACTAGTTATTGCAAATATATACATATATATATATACCACATTAGGAACACAAGTGTTTTTTTTCTTGCTATTGTTTCTAATGTATTTATAAGGTACCATGTGATATTTTTTTGTTGCTTTGTATGTCCCTCCCCCACGGTATAACCCCTGTTTTCACTGTATTTGATGCTGGTATAATTTGGGTAGGGAAAGAGAAAAAACAAATTGTTTAAATAGGGATACAGGTTGACACATTGCAAGCACTGCAACAATGAGATGTACAAGACACTAAGTCGAAAAATGAACTTTACAAATAGGTGGGGGGAGGGGGAGGGGGAGTGTAGTTGAGGAGGTGGGAGGGAAGGGATGGTAGGGGAAAGACAAGGAGGAGGCAACAATGCTTGATAAGAAATGTACTCATTACCTTGCTCATGTAACTGTAACCCCTCTGTACAGTATTTTCACAATAAAAAAACTTATTTAAAAAATCTTAATGCCCACCTGCCATATTCTTATGTTTGGCGGTTTCTTTTCAGGCACACAACTAAATCAAATAAACTGTATCAGCTCTGGGTTTCTCACACAAGATACACTGGTACAGCCTGGATCAGCTGATTACAGATCTTCTTCAGGCTTTTCCAATGAGCAATAGGAATTGATTGCAACCCTCCCTCTTCCCCCTACCCCCTCATCCCTGCAAAGAAAATGTTTTCATCTAAAATCACAAAATTAGGCATTGGAAATAAATGCAGTGGCAGAAGGTAGGCATAACACATAGAGGATTCTAGATTCCATCTCTAACATGATAGAGAGAGATGATAGATAGACAGACAGACAGACAGACAGATAGATAGATAGATAGATAGATACATACATACATACATACATACATACATGCATATATACATACATAGATGATAGAAAGATAAGATAGATGATGGATACAGATACTTAGGTAATAGAAAGATGATACGTACATACATATGTACATACATAGATGAGAGATAGATGATAGATATAAATAGGAAGGCAAACAGACAGAGAGACAGACAGATAGATAGAACTTTTTTTATATGGCAAAAATGTGGTGTGGTTCCTGTGATAAAGCAACTGCCTAGCAAGTATGAGGCCCTGAGTTCAATCTCCAGGACTTCCATAATAAATACCTAAACCTGTGATTAAACCAAAGCCACAGCAGAAGGTGTCTGAGAAAATCAGGAGAATTAAGAAAAAAATACAATAAGACAATAGGTACAGATTCGTGTGGCTTACTCTCAGAACTCTATCGTCTGTCATTTTCTAAGACAAGAGTACCTCTACAGGAATGAGACTCTGAATTGACATATCTCCACCTTGTTGAATAGGTGAGCTTCTTTGGCCACAAGGAACACTGAGTCATTTGTTTGATTTTATTTTTTCCCCCCAGAGTTCACACTTTTTGATGAATACCTTTTGTGATGAAAACTGGTTCTCAAGCTGAGAAGGTGCTTGCCTCACATGCATGAGGCCCTGGGTTCGATTCCTTAGAACCA